GTTGTCGAATTTGAACCGTGTCTATGCAATGGTCATTCAAGAGGAAAGGCATCAAAGTATAGCCAAGAGCAAAGAAGAACGAAGTGATGTTGTGGGTTTTGCGGTACATGCTGGTGCAAAAGCAGCTGCTACACGTACAAAGGATAAAAGCGTGATCTGTACACACTGTGGAAAATCCGGACATGAAGCAAAGGACTATTTCCAGGTGATTGGATATCTAGAATGGTGGGGAGATAGACCATGCTCAACCAGGAAAGGAGCAGGCCGCGGGCGAAGTGGTTCGGGCGGACGAGGACGAGGAAACAAGGCAAGAGCAAACGCTGCCCAAGCAGCGGGAAGTGAGACTGGAGGACAAAAAGTTGGAACTACAAATGATCATGACCGCAGCGGGTTTCCGGGACTGAGTGGTGATCAATGGACAACCCTTCTCAATATTCTGAATTCACATAAATCTGGTGAAAAACTTTCCGGTAAGAAAAATTCTACTGATTGGATAATTGATTTTGGGGCATCGCACCATATGACTGGAGAAATTAATTTATTGATTGAAGTTCGAAATATTACACCGTGTCCGATGGAACTTCCTAATGGGAAGCAAACTACCGCAGTGAAGGAAGGGACTTTGCATTTGGGTGGAAATATTTATTTACATCATGTGCTTTTCGTACTAAGAATGAACTGCACCCTTATTTCTATAGCTAAATTATTGCAAGAGATAAATTGTATTGTCACTTTTACTGACAAGCTGTGCGTGATACAAGACCAAACTTCGAAGACTCTGATTGGAGCAGGTGAGCAATGTGATGGGGTCTATTAGTTTAGAGGAGCAGCACCGGTTCGGGCAAATAGAACAAGTGGAATGAGTGAATGGGAGTTGTGGCATCGCAGATTAGGGCATCCGTCTAAACAGATATTATCTTCTCTTCCTAAGGTAGATAAATTAAACAGTAGACCTGAAAGTGATAAGCCATGTGATGTTTGTTATAGAGCAAAACAAACTAGGGAAGTTTTTCCTGAAAGTAAACATAAAGCTGATGATTGTTTTTCTCTAATTCATTGAGATACATGGGGTGCTTATAAAGTACCTGCTTCTTGTGGTGCCGTTTACTTTCTAACCATTGTTGATGATTATTCTCGTGCTGTGTGGGTTTACTTATTACTTGAAAAAAGTGAAGTAGCACATATTGTTGAGAATTTTTGTGCCATGGCAGAACGCCAATTTGGCAAGTAAGTCAGAACTGTTTGAATTGATAATGGAACATAGTTTAAAAGCCTGAAGTCGTACTTTGAGACTCATGGCATTCTGCACCAAACTTCCTGTGTTGGAACGCCCCAATAGAATGGTCAAGTGGAGACATAGGCATATTTTGAATGTTGCAAGAGCATTGAGGTTTCAAGCAGGTTTGCCTATTCGTTTTTGGGGAGAGTGTGTCTTGATCGTTGTATACTTGATAAATTGGACACCTTCTTCCGTACTTGACGGGAAGATTCTGTATGAGGTACTGTTCGGAACGATACCTTGATACGAGCAAATAAGTGTTTGGCTGTCTCTGCTATGCCCGTTGGAGCCCTCGAGATAAGGATAAGTTTGGAGCGAGGAGTAGGAAATATGTTTTTGTAGGCTATCCCTACGGGAAGAAAGGTTGGCATGTATATGATGTTGAGAGCGGTGAATATTTTGTCTCTCGCAATGTAGTCTTCCATGAAAATATATTTCCATATGCGGTGATTTAGAAGTACCTCTTGAAGACAACCCTGGTCCGACAATTGCGGTTGTAGTTGATGATGATGTTGTTCACAACCATAGAGGAAATAAAGACAGGGGGAGTGACGAAGAGGATATCTGTGCGAATGATAGGGAGAGCTTTCAAAATACTAATAGAAGAGAGGAGGAGCAAGGCAATGGAGGGGATGTGCAGGAAATGGAAGCTAATGGCGGTGATGACAGAATTAGTGTGGATCCAGCACCACAAACAGCACCAGAAGAGCAACTTGGCAGGGGACATTGACATCGCACGCCGTCTGTTTTGTTAAAGCCCTATGTAACCTACACTGCTCGATGTCTGAAAGAC